CAGCAGCAGGACCCTCCGCGACGGCCGGGGCTTCAGCCGGTCCAGCTGCAGCTCAGCCTCCAGCTCTGGTGGGGAACGGGAGGGTGGCACTGGTGACACCCGCGGTGGCACCCCAGCGGTGTCCCTGTGCCAGCGGTGCCCCCCGGGTCACACTGGCACTCACGGATGCTCCGAGGGATGTGCTGGCCCGTCACGCTGACACAAAACACCACGTGGAAGCTGCGGGGGACACCACCAACAGCTGCTCAGAGACCTGTCCTGAGCCCACGGCGGTGTCCCCATGGCAGTGTCCCCATGGCAGTGTCCCCACGGCAGTGTCCCCTCACCAGCTGACACGGACGCTGGAGTCGGGCAGGACACAGTCCAGGATCTCAGGGTTCAGCCCGTCGGGGACACTCAGCTGGGTCCGGGCCACCACCACGGGCAGTCCCCTGGGGCACGGGGACATTGCTGAGGCGCCAGGGGACCAAGAGGGAGCCCCGGGCCACCGCAGGGACGGGCACTCACTGGTACACGGCCACCTTGGCCGCCCCGTAAGCCCCCACGAGCAGATCTGCAGGGACAGGCAGAGGGTCGGTGCCGGGGCGGTGGCACCGGGCTGGCAGGGCGGTGGCAGGGCGGTGTCGTGCCAGGGCTGTACCCGCGTAGCCGTTGCCGTCCAGGTCGGCGGCACCACGCAGGGCGAAGCCGAAGGCGGCGGGGCCGGGGAAGGGGCTGTCGAGGCGCTGGGTGGGCACCGGCGCCAGCCCCTCGCTCTGCCCGCGGAAGATGAAGACCTGCCCGCTGCCACTGTCACCGCCCTGCGGGGCGCCCACGGCCACGTCTGGGGACAGAAGGGACGTGAGCGCCCACCCGCGCTCTCCTGCCTCAGTTTCCCCAAGGCGCGGCACCGGGGTGGCACATCCCCCTCCCCGCCCCGCCGCGCTGGTACCGCCGAAGCCGTCCTTGTCCAGGTCCCCGAGGCTGGCGATGGCGGCGGCGAAGCGGCCGTAGGGGTGGGTGCCCGTCAGGGTCTGGGGGGGCCCGGCCAGGGGCTGCTGCCCCCGCCCCAGGTAGAGGTAGAGGCGCCCCAGCTCGCTGCGCTGCCCGTCGGAGCGCCGGGCCATGTACAGGGGCGCACCCACCAGCAGGTCATCCCGCCTGTGCCCGGCGCGGGGTCGGGGTCAGGCACGCAGCTTTGGGGGCTGGGGGCACCCAGCGGTGTGCCAGGCACGGGGCAGCACCCCTGGGTGCCCCTTGGAGGAAGGGGGGGACGACTGTCCCGGCTCTCACCCGTCCCCATCGACATCGGCCACTGCCACCGTGTGCCCGAAGTACGAAGCCACCTGGAAAGGGTGAGGGTGGCACCGGGGGTGCCAGGGACACAGTGGGCGGGGGGCTGGGGTGCTGTGGGAGAGGGGCAGGAGTGCTGTGAGCACCGGGGGTGCTGGGTGTCACAGGGCAGGGGTACCTGCTCGCTGGCGATGCCCCGCAGCCGGCGCAGGGTGTCCCCCGCAGTGAAGATCTCCACCTGCCCAGGGCAGTGTCAGACGCCAGGCCCAGCCCGCGGTGACACACGGTGGTGTCCCCTGGGCCAGGCAGCGGCACCGGGCACCTCGCAGCACTCACCTCACCCCTCGTGTTGCTCTTGTTGGGGACCCCCACCACGTACTCTGTGAGGGATGAGAGCCCTGAGCGCCCCACTGGGACATTGAGGGGGGCACGGGGATACCCCGCACTGGGGTGGGCACACGGACACCCCTGGTGCGACATGAGAGCACAGAGATGGACGGGACCCCTGTCCTGGCACAGCCTGTCCTGCCCCCTCGGGAAGGGACCAAGGTCACCCCGGGGTGCCCCAAGCCCATCAACCCCCGTTCCCTGCACCCCTCAGCCCTACCTTTGGTTTTGGGGTTGCCATCAAACTCGCCCACGGCCACCGAGTATCCTGCAGGGAGAGGGGCATTGGTGACCCCGGGGTATCCCCGCAGGAGCTGGCAGTGGGGCAGGGTGCCCGTGCCCACAGCTCACCCCGGTACCCATCCTCGTCATCCCCAGACAGCGGCTCCGTGGGGCGCCCGGGGCTCCCCAGCCACAGCAGGGACGTGCCGAGGAAGCGCCTGAGGATCTTGTCCAGCTCCACCGAGTACACGAGCCCTGGGGCACACCGCAGCGGGGAGCACCAGCACGGACGGGGCACCCGCTGCCACACGCCCTAGGCTGCCAGCGCCACTGCGGGTGGCACTTACGGGGCACCGCAGCCGGGGCGGCAGCGCCGGCAGGAAGGACTCACCTGTGAAGTAGTACCCGCCGGGGGCACCCAGTACCAGCGTCCCATCCTGCGAGAGGAGCTGGCTCAGCACCACCCCGGGGCACCCCGGCATCCCCCCAAAGCATCCTCACCCAAGTATCCCCACCCCAGTATTTCCCATCCTGGCACATTCCAGCCCAGCATCTCCCATCCCGGCACTCCCACCTCAGCGTCCCCCCCGCTCCTAGGACCTCTCCTCCCGGAATTCCCACTGCAGCATCCCCCACCTCAGCATCCCGACCCCAACATCCCCCGCCGTGACACCCAGGTACCATCCTGACCACACCCTCTGCACCTCTATCAGCCCCCCCTGGGCATCCCGGGGGGCACCCCGCCGGCGCCGCCCCCCGATGCCCCCAAAGTGCCCGAGCCCCTCAAGTCCCCTCTCACCGGGGTGACAGCGGCGCTGAAGCCGATCTCGCAGTAGCGCTTGTCGTGCACTGGGGGAACAGGGCAGGGTCAGACGGAGCGGGGCTGGAGCCCCCCGCCCCCGCCCCCGGTCCCCTCACCGTAGTTGGTCTGGCGGTAGGTGCTGGCCATGGTCTGGTCGCGGCAGGGCGAGTACCACACCGCGCCGCGCTGCCCCGGGCTCCGCAGCCAGCAGGTGCCCGTCGGGGTGCGGAACGCCTCGTGCTGCCCCTCCAGAGCGTTCCAGTGCTGCAGCGGGGCACAGACCTGGGCACGGCCATGGGACACGCTGGGTGCCCACCCCGCCAACACCCGAGGCTGCCCACACCCCCTCCGCATGCACCCACCACCAGTTTGCCGTCCCAGCTGGTGACGGACGCTCCCAGCCACTGGTGCGACTTGTAGGTGTGGAACTCCAAGGTGCCCTGGCTCTCGCTCTCGTCCCCTGGGGGAGCGGGACAGGGGGATGTGCGGAGCTGGCACCCCCCGCGCCCGCTCCCCGCCCCACGGCGCCCACGCACCCGCAGTGTCGATGGGCAGGGGGTGGCAGGGGGTCTTGCCGGGGGGCCAGGAGCAGAGGAAGACGGCGCCGGGCTGAGCCACGCCGGGCTGGGAGGTGTTGGCACGGGGGGCCCCCACCGCCACGCTGGGCCTGGGGGCAGAGCGGGTGTCAGGGTCGGCGGGCGTGTGCCGTGCCCGACCCCGACCCCCCGGTGCCTCCCTACCTTCCCTCGCTCATGTGGAAATCCAGGGCGAAACCGAAATAGCTGCCGGGGGGTCCCTCGTAGATGGTGGGGGGCTCCTGGAGAAGCCCCAGCGTGGGGGGCAGGCGCAGCCCCCCGAGGAGCAGCAGCACCCGCAGCAGCCCCATCCTCACCCCAAAATGTGGCCACAGCCGCCGTCCCGGGGCGTCCCTGGCTTATCTCGGGGGACGCAGCTGGGGCCGGGCCCGGCAGGAATGGGGAACACAGGAAGGGCCCCCCCGGACTCATATCCGCTCCTGCACGGAGCCGGAGAGGTGCGGGGGAGACGGATGTGGCCGGAGCAGGCGGGGACAGGAGGTGGCAGTGCCACCGGGAGACACGGTGACAGGGTGGGGGACACGGCCACAGCAGCCTGAGCCCGCCGGGGCGCGCCCAGCCCGCCGCGGGGTGCCAGGCTCGGCGTGGCCATTTCGGGATGTGCATCTTGGGGTGGCTATTTCGGGGTGCAGGCAGGCCCTAGCAGCGGAAATGTGGCGAGGAGGGGAGGGCAGCAGGGCACAGGGCCCCTCCATCGCCCCCGATAACCCCTCCGCAGCCGGATGGAGCTGACAGCACCGAGCCCGCCCGCACTGGGCATCACCCTCCCAGTGTCACCTTCCCCAGGGCAGGGACACCCCAAACCCCTGCCAGGGCAGAGGCAGCAGCAGCGCTGGGCAGGGCAATGGCTCTGGCAAGGGACCGGGGGAGGCTGGGGCCAGCCCACGGCCAAGTGAACAAGGCTTGTCCTTGCCCCCGTGTTCCTGTCCCCGGGGGAGAGCCGGTGCCCGCAGCCAGGCCTGGGCCAGCCGGGGGCTCAGCCCTGCCCGGACAGCGGCGTAGCCCCTGAGCCCACCTGCAGAATGAATTTTAACTCTGTTAATTAAGGACAGTCAGACTGCCGCGGTCACCGGGGGCTCCTGGTGCCAGCCCCGGAGCGCCCCCCGGAGCAGCCCGTGTGGAAGGGGGCTGTCTCCGTCTCTGCAGCTGCAGGTGGGACGCAGGACAGGGAGCCGGGGGGGTTTGGGGAGCATAGGGGTCCCCGCAGAGCCAAAGGGCACCTTGGGCCCTGAGGGGGCACGCCGTCCCCGGAGCGGGGGCTGCTGCAGCCCTGCGGAGCAGCGGGAGCTGAAGAGAGCGGGATTTGCCCAAAGCCGTGCCAGAGCTCCGAGGGGCGGTTTAGCTTCAGCTGAGCCCGGAGCAGCTCCTGCCCAGGGACAGGAGGACACCGGACTCAGGGGCAGCTGCTCCTCCTCGGGAGGTCTCGTCCCCGGCTTGCCGCAGCATCTGAGCCCAGCTGGAGCCCACACCAGTCCCCGAGGGCAATTCTAATCCTTTCCTCTGTCCAATTACTTCATTTCCTGTTTCTTTCAGCACTGCGGCACCATCAGCCACCTCCTCCCAGGGCCACCGCCAGGGACGGGCAGGTGGCACCCCGGACCCCGAGCCTGCTGGCATGCAGGGGGTGGATTTTTTTTCCTTTAATCCAGCCAGGGCTTTGGTTAGGAAAAGAGGCTGGTGCTCTGCACAGCAGCTCCCCCACCACCACACAACATGACATCTCTTTTTCCACAAATCATTGGTTTATTAGAAAGGTTTTTTTCCCTCATTTTACAGCATATATATATATTTATATATATATCTTATGTGACAAAGTTAAATACAGTCTGTTTATGCTTGTTAAGTAATGACAGGTTAATTATTTTAGCGCTATCCTGAAGTCCAAAAACGACCCCTGCCCACAGCACGATGGGGCCAGGGCATGGATGGGCCCTATGAAGCTCAGCTCTGACAGTAACACTGAATTGTTCGGTATTTACAGGAAATTGAGTCCCTTTTTTGTGACTGCTGCCACTCTGACCTGCTCCAATTCCTCATTTACACGGTGAGGGAGCTCGGGGGGTTTTGATCCTTTGACTCTGCCTGGCCTCGTGCTGCACTCCAGGAGGGGACAGGGAAGAGGATGGGGAATGGGACTGGAAAGGGACGGGGATGTCACCACATCCCCACTCTGCTCTGAAATCCCTCCCTCCAGCGGTGGTGGCCCAAGGGCTGTGACACCTGCAGTGCCCTGTCCGTGGGGACAGCAGCAGTGGGGACATCCCCTGCACTGGGTGGGGAAGCTCCCACAGGCAGTATCACCTGAGCTGGGTGAAGCTGGGAAATCCCTTATGGATGAAGCTGGGGTAACCCTCTGTGTGGGCTGGGAACAGTCCCAAGGCTCCTCCTGCACCAGCAGGGTCTGCACATTACTGCTTCCAAAGGGAGAAAAAGGAAAGGAAAAAAAAGGGCTCCTATTCTCTGGGAGCACCCTGAATTCCTGCTGCTCCCCAGGCTGCTCCAGTGCCCATTCCTATGGCAGGGAGGAACGCAGAACCTGCCAGAGTCACTGCTACCCCCACACCCCTCACCTCGCCCAAATCTCACCTGTTGATTTTTTTTTTCTTCTGCAAAATTCTAAATGAGGATTTTTTTGTTTGTTTTTACATTTTATACTACATAAAAACTTCAAAAATACATGAGCTTGATAAAATATACATGCTTAGCTGTTCTGCATCTAGCTGAAACTATAAATTGAACCTTTACAAGTGTCTTGGGTCACCTACGGCAAACATATTTACACAGAAGCCACCAGAACAAGTACCACTAAGAACTGGCTGTAAAAAATATTATTGCGATATACTACAAATGTAACCTTTGATAGGAGCTACAAAAAGCAGCATCTTTGTTTACAGAGTTCAGTGCAATTCTTTACATTAAAAAAAAAATCCTATAAATTAATAAGGAAACCATCAGTGTTACAGAGGAAAGAACACGTTTTACATCCAGGCTGCGCTCCCCCGTCCTCTGTATTGCTTCAATTCCTAACAGGATTCTCCTTCTCTCTCCCATCCCAGTGCCTCTTTCCCAACCCCACAGAAGATGTATTTCAGAGTGATTTTTTTCCCCCTTTCAGGAGAAGAGTGGTCAAAGCCCAGACTGGAAGCCCAACCCCAGAACCCCTCTCCAGTCTGGGATATCCAGGCATGGTCCTGGCGCAGGAGAGCATGGATGCAGGATGGAGAAGGGAGCTCTGGGCACACCCACAGAGCTCCTCCTCCTCTTTACACTAAGATCTTACTTCCACCTTTGCTGCTCACAGCAAGACAAACCCACGTCTGCAGAGACAGGGGCCAAGGAACCTCCTGCAATGCCTGAAAGCTGAGGCCTCCAGACCCCCTGCAGCGGGCAGCTCCCGATGTTCCATGGCCAATTACAAGCCAGATTCAATCATGCTATTTAATTAGATGACCTCATTAAAAGGACTTTTAGAGATCCTATTAGTGTGTATGAAACCTCATTTATCATATACAAGGTGGCAGAAGGAAGATGACCAAGTGTAAGAATCCAGGGGGAAAAAAAGCCTTTCCAAGTGTCTCGCTGTTCTAAAGGTGAAATGGTTCTTCTGGAGCGGTGCTGCTGCGTGCACGGAGGAGTCGGAGCGAGACTTCCCTGGGACACAGCCAACTGCCCAGCCCTGGAGCCCCTGGCTTCTTTGGCTGCTCAAGAGTGAAAGGAAATGCTCAGGCCTCACCTGCCCGCTGGCTCGACTCCGGCCCCTGACCAAAACGCCGAATATTCTCCTTCCTCCGAGGTTCCTTCATTTTGTCCTTCATGTGCCGTGGCTGGGTGGATGCTGCAAGTCCTGTCCTGAGAAAATGGGGTGCAGCAGGGGGTGGAGGTGCAGGGCTGTGGCAGCAGCAGCAGCTGCTGGCCTCGGGGCCAGGAGGGTCGGGTAGAGAGCGTGAGGGACAGGGTGGAAGGTGAAGGGGCCGGGGTGGATGGCGGATGCCGGAATGATGTGGATGGGGTGGCTGGCCAGGAACGTGGCGGGGTGCCCCGGAATAATCGAGTGGGTCAGGTGGGACAAGGAAATGGGTGCCAGGTGTGGCTGGGGGATGTGGTGGACCTGAGCGAGGGGCTGCGGGTGCGGGTGGGGGTGGATGCCGATGGCGGCGGCGGCGGCAGCGGCGTGGTGCTGCAGGATGGCGTGCTGCACCGTCGTGATGGACGTGGCCGAGGCCGCCGCCGGCTGCTGGATGTGGATGGGCTGCAGCGCGGGCGCGGCCGGAGCCAGGGCGGCCGACGTGGGGAAGGCCTTCACTTGCTTGGCCAGCAGCTGCTGCTGGATGTGCTGCTGGGCCGCCTGCTGCAGCTTGCTGTACTTCTCCATCTCCTCGGGCGTGAAGGTGATGGGCTGGCTCTCCAGCGGGGCTAGAGAGGAATCTTCTCCCCCATCCCGATCTCCTTCCATGCTTGGCTCCCCGCTCTGAGGCACGTAGCCAGGAAAGTGCTCAACATCTGGAACTAAGGGCATCATACTGGTTTCCACTGGGACTGGCTGGTTGCCCCCGTCCATAGGCTCCAGCCCATCACCATCGCTTGGATCCGAGAGGAAGTTGTGCGGCATGACCAGATCTCCAGAGCCAAAGCACTCAGGAAGCGCCGGAGCGTCCAGGGGAAGGGACGGCATCTCCACAGAGGCTTCGTCACGTTTCTGCTCATCCAGAGGTTTGTCCTGAATTACCATCACCACATCTTCCAGGAGAGACTGGCCAGCCAGCTGACCCTCCTCCATGCCTTGGGAACCATCCTCAGCATCTGATAGCTCCTGCTCCTCACCCCTCTCCAAGCCAGACTCCTCATACCTTTTGGAGTTTGGTTTCCGAATGGTTGGCAACTTCCCTATTAAGGGCAGAACCGGTTTGTTGCCTAAGGAAGGAGGCAGTTTGGGACCAAAGTAGCCCTGGGGAGGATCTTTGAGCTTTATGCCCACTTTGTTTGCTCCTGACAGCATCTCGTCAGTGACACAGGGCTTCTTCTCAACCTTCCTGGACTGCACCTTTTCCAGGAGCAGCTTTGCAGTGACGGAGTTCCTCTCCTCAGGACTGCAGTCCCCTTCCGAGGCCCGCCCCATGCCAGAGCTGCTGCTGTTCTGGGACAGGGAGCTAGACCCTTTCAGATCCTCTCCCTTGCCATCCTCCTTCTTTGGCAGTGACCCTTCACCTCGGCCCGTCCGGAAGTAGTGAGGAGACTGGGAGCGATAGATCTTGGACCTAATGAAGTCCCTTCTGGCAGACCTTCGCTCCTCGGGGCTCTCGTGGCCCCGTGAGCCCTTCCGTGACAGGGACCTCTGCGAGTGGCTGCGGGTGCTGCGGCTGCGGTCCCGGCTGTAGCTGCGGCTGCGCTTCCAGCTGCGGCCTGTCACGCTGCGGCTCCTCCTCTTGCTGCGACTGCGGCTGCAGCTGCTGCTGCGGCTCCTGCCCCGGCTCCTCGATCTCGACCTGCCTCGAGGGTGGGTTCGGCTCCTGCTCCGACTCCTGGACCTGCTCCTGCTCGAGCTGTAGTCATCTTCTGATGAGGAGTATTTGCGCCGCTTGGAGCGGTGGTTTGAGCTGTTGTAGTCGGAGTCATCCTCCGAGTCCTGGGAGCGCTTGGAGTGGCAGCGGGAGCGGTCGCTGTAGTCGCTGTAGCTGTCGTCCGAGTAGCTGCGGTGGCGGCTGTAGCGGCTGTGCTCCGAGGACGCGTCCGAGCTGGTGGAGTAGGACCTGTGCGAGGAGTGCCTGCGGCCCGAGCGGGAGCGGCTGCGGGAGTGCTCGCTGCCCGAGTCGTAGTCATCGCTGTACTGCGACGGGGACTTCTGGTGGCAGTGCTTGCCAGGGGAGCCCTCGTCACTGTCATCATCGCCGCTGCTCTGCTGGCTCCGGCAGCCGCTCCGGGGCTGGGACAGAGCCGGGCAGCGCCTCCTCGCACCAGGCACCTGCTGCAGCTCAGCCTTGTGTCTTTTGCTGCCGTGCTCTTGGCAGGAGTTACCCCCGTCCTCTTTTTTACTGCTGCTTCCCTCCTCAGCAGACAGGGATTTCCTCTGGGACTCCTGGGAGCATCGCTTTTTCTTCTGGAAATGGCTGCAGTCTTCAGACAGTTCAGGTTTCAGCGCCCGGTCTGACTCTGTTGAAAGGGAGGATTTACCTTTTTTGTGCCTGTGCCTTTTCCGTTTCTTGGGTTTCTCTTCCCCCAGCTCAGCTTTCCGGGCCTTCTCCTCAGCTTCCTCCTTGTGTTTGCGTTTGTGTCTGCTGGACTTTTTGTGCTTCTTTTTCTTTTTGTGTTTATGGGACCTTCCAGATTTACTCTTACCCGTTATACTCTTACTGCTGTCCTCCCCTTCTCCCTTACAGATGCTTCCCAGACTGGACTCCTGCTTGCTCTGGGATTTGTTTTCCATTTTTTGAGCAGAACTGTTCTCTACACTTTCGGCCTCCTTGGCTTTGCTCACCTCACCAGGTTCTGTGTTCTGAGTGTTGTCTTTACAAAGCCCCCCTGGATCCTTGGATTTCTCTGCCCCCTTCCCTTTTGCATCCTTGTTACGGGAGAGCTTGAAGTCAAAGTACAGGGGGTTGCAGCTGTACGACACAGAGGGCTCAGCTTTGGTGAAGATGAGCAGCTCTGAAGGCCACTGCAGTGTCGTGCTCTCATCCTTACTCAGAACAGGGAAAAAAGGTCCCGTGGGGTGCTTTGGTCCCTCAGAGCCATCTCTGCAGCCCGAGGCAGGAGGAGGAGCTTCTTTAGCAGTGTCTGGCTCCGGGGGATTGCTCTCTGGAAGGTGCTTGCTCTCCTGTGTATTTTCGTTCTCTGGGATGTCTTTTCGTTCTGTTTTGCCCTGCTGAGCTGTAGTTTCAGTAGTACTCTGCTCTTTCTGCTGCCCCGTGCTCTCGGCAGCCTTTTCCGTGTGCTTGCTGGGTTTGGGTTTGGGGGAAGTCCCCTTTTTCAACTCGTGCGCGTTTTTTTTGTTCACATTTTCTGCTTCCGTTTGCTCAGTAGCCTTCATGAAAAGCAGGAATTGAAAGTTGGGCTTTACTTTACAGTGGGCTGGGGGGATGTAGTGGTAATATTCTGGCTCCACGGCCGTTGGTCCATCTTCTCGCCTCATCTTCTTCAGTTTGGATAAGGTGCTGGCCAGAGCCCCGCTGTCCTTGTCGTGCTGGTCATCGTCCTCCGCCTTGCCATCAGAATTATTGGTGCCTTCACCCTCCCCAGACTTCTGCAGGCTGCCAGCCTCCGAGGACCCCCTCTCATCACCTTTTGCCCCGTCTGCAGAATTGGACTCGTCCACGTGGTCCTTGAAAACAGAAGCGATGGTCTCCAGCTTCACTGGGGTCTTCTTGGCAAAGGAAAAGGACACGCCGATCTTCTGTAGAGGAGTTCCCAGAGAGCTCTTAATACCAAAGCTGATGGCCTGTGCCCCCTGTGATGTCTGGCCTGGCATCACAGTGCCTTGGCCAGTGTTCAGGAAGCCTCTGTCCGTGGTCATCTCTGTGGCCTGGCCCGAGCTCGTCTGGACGAAGGAGCCGCTGTTGGCTGCGGAATCATCATCGTCTCCACCTTCCTCGTCCACAGCCACTGTGGTGGTCCTGAACATGGGCCCACTTCCAGGAGCACTGAACAGGGGAGAGAGAAAACACAGCTTACTGGTGTCCCTGTCCCTCTGCAGGAGGATCCATCTCTCAGTGGAGACAACCTTACACAGTTCAAGTGCTCCTGCACCCAGACACATGCATTAAAATATCACTATACAGCCACTCAAAGTTTTGAATAATGGTGAATTACTGAAGAAAATGTATTGCTGGATAAAGCAATTTGGGGATGCTCTCCATGATCAGTTTAGTGAACTCACGCCTACCAAAAGCCCAGCATGAGCCCCAAACACCAGTGTGAAGCTTTGCCCCCAAAGCCTGTGCAGTATCCCAGAGCAGGAATGCCAGCCCAGGCCAGGGCTGCAGCCCCCCAGGCTCCAGGGGTGCTGGGGCCCACCCAGACTCACCACTCAGGCTGCCTCCTCTGCTCAGCCAGCTCGTGCAGGCGCCGCAGGGCCTTCTCCTGCTTCCTCTCATCTTTCCGGGATCTCGACGAGACATTGCGAGCAAACTCCCTTTGCTTGAGATCTTTCAACCTCTGAGGCAAAAGAAAGCAGGGATGGATCAGATCAAAGCTGTTTGAGGCTCGTCCAAGAGCAGCTCTTTGCTGTAGCACTGGAGATTGCGGTGTCAAGCCCCTCCCCAGGGACATTTATTGAGCCAAGATGGAGCAACAGCATCTTAGCTCAACAAACCCCACGGAGCACACTGCCATCCTCCCAGCAGCTGAAGGAAAAGGCAACTGGTGGTCACTTTTGGCTATGACTTCAAGTTCTGTGTATACCCCTTTCTAATCAACACTAATGGTTTTCTTTAGCATGGACAACAAAGCTGATTTCGAAGCAACAAGCAAATTCTGGAAGGAAAAGGGGAAAAGAAGAAGGATTGTTTACTTTGCTGCTCTTGCAGCGTGCAGATGTACTTGACAAACAGTGCATGACACGAGTCAAAAGCATGGGCCAAGGGACAGGAGGGATTAGCTGGTGCCAGAGCTACCCAGGAATGACATCTGACAAAAGCAATGTACCATTACATTGGAGAAGGAGCCAAAAATCCCATGCAAGTGATTTCATAAGCAAACCCAGAGTACAACATACACCACAACCAGTTACTTGTTTTCCTGACAGTAGTTCTGAGAGGGTCAAGAAACAGACTGCTCTAAAGGCAGGAGGGTCTCTCGGGGTTGAATACTTTGGGGGAGGGGGGGCAGAAGCACCAAGTTCCCCAGAAATCTTATGATGAGGGAGCAAACCCAGTCCCAAGGAATTTCAAACATCCTAATATCACTGAGGAAGTCTAGGTAGTCAATTCTAATAGAAAATAAACATCCAAGACTTCAGAACATTTTGGAAAGTCCTTGTCTCAGAGCACTAGGAGAAGAGGCTGCTGGTTTTTCTTGGAATATATGTGGATATTCACAACATTTTTTTAGAGTGCTCTACAGAAGTTAAAGTAACAGAAAGCAACAAAGACAGACCTCTACCATCCTAAAGGGACTCATTGTTTTTTTTAAGTGCACAGTTCAAAACCCTTTCAAAGGGCCCAGTTACAGAACGCATCCTGTCCTCAGCTTTTGGAAAAAGTTTCATGTTTTTCAGGCATTTCATGCAGGGCCTGGGAGACTAACGAGACTCAGAGCAGGAGTCACTTTGGAACAATTCTTGTACAGGATGTACAAATCACTGGTGAATTCTAAATACTTCTGGCTGGCTGACTCTGCCTCTTTCCTGGAGCAGAGTCAGACTGCCACACACAGAAAGAGTGGATCTGGAAACCAACCCAAAGCTCAAATTAGAGGAATTAAGCTGGCCCAATGTAAAGAGAACATTGCTTTGTGAAAAAGGGAGAGATTGGACAAGACAGAGGATTCTCTTACCTAATTGTATTTACTAAATGTGGTTGATTGTTACCAAAATCAGAGGGGAGGACACACAAAAAAGATACAACTACAGACACCAGTAGAAAGAAACTCACTCTTGTGATCTGGACTCCCAAATTAGAAGGGTTTGCTTTCAATACATCAGCTGAAAACGTCACATCACAAAGAAAAAAAGAAAGTAAAAATATAACAAGAGTGGAAGAGAGAAAAAAAAAAAAACAAGCAAGCATTACTAGAGAGCTGTGGGGGAGTGTGCCAGCTACTCTACGGAGCGGGAGCGGAGCCACGGAGCGAGCCGGGGTCTGCGGCAGGGGACACACGGACACGCACGGACACAGCCATGATCCCACCTGGAACAGCAGAGCTACTCTCACCACGACAAGTAAAGGGCTCAAGGGTTTTGTGGTGGATGTTACACGTTGAGGAGTACTTTTTTTTCCAAGAGGAAGGAAAAAAAAATAGATGGACTGAGCAATGCTATCAGCTTTTTCATGCTGATTTTGAAAGTGTGTCTGAAATGCTCTGGAAGTTACAGCCACCAACAGCTGACAAAACTATTTAATGGGGGCTGATGCCAAGTCTAGAGATCACTCACCCATTTGGAAAAAAGTATGACCCAGCTATTTACCAGACATGAACTGTGACCTTTTCCTCTCGAGAGGAAGGTGCAATGGTGCACTCAGAGCCCCCTGTGCCCCAGGCACGGTCCTGATCACCCCCAGGACACAAACTGGGCTCAGAGCTGTTTGGAACATGCAGCTGCCCCCAGGCTCTCCTGCCTCCATTACATGGCAATTTGAATGCACACAGAATTAAATGCCCATTATTAAATGCTGACCTTTGTGTGTCTCTGCTCCCCCAAACCTCCCACTCTCAACACTCCAAATTTAGAGGTGTGAAGCAAATGAACTACCCCAAAGCACTGCAATCCACAATATGCACCACAGCAACTCCCAGCTGCACCCAAACCTGGGCCCTTCAGGCTAACAAACCACTGGCCCTGGTGTCAAGACTGCTGAGAATTTGGCACTTCCAAAATTGGGGAAGAGTTGGTTTGGTTTTCAAAGGACCAAGAGATCTCAAGGCTGAGTTTCTTTTTGTCACACAGGAGTCAGGAGGAAAAATAATCTTGCTGGGGAAGTACAGGATAGAAAAGCTCACAGATGCACCATGCCAGCTCCTTGGAAATGCAAAATACTGGACAGAACATAGCTCAGCTTCTTAGACTGACCTAAACCAGCAGACCTATCATCAGAAATGACTCCAGGTGTGCAAGAGACCTGGCTGAACTGCATTACCTTCCCTGAATGCATCCTGGGGGAGGGAAAAGGGGGAAAACAGGAGCCCACACTGCTCATCTGTAAGAACAACCTGCTGCAGGAATGAAAAATAGCCAGAACTTCTCAAACTAACTTGTAACTCTCCCCTCACTGTTTCAAATATGTCACTGAATGCAGTGACTGATCCCCTCAGAGTGGATAACCAGCTCAGTACAGCCATGCCCACGCTGCCCCCCAGTCCTGACAGGGAAGGAACAATCCAAAGACAGTTTCACTGCAGAAGGGAGCATGTGGAGCTCTGAAATGCTGCTCACACACTTCCAGGTCTCAGCCTGCCCAGGAAATCATCTGAACTAAACAGATATTTAAGCTCAGCTTACACTAAAGAAATTTCCATCTAATCCTGAGGAGACTGTTATTCTAATCCCCCAAAAAGCTCTAAAAGACTTTTTGGACCACACCATACGTGTAGGTGTGAGTGAGGCTGGAGGGGCATGGAACTACCCCTTCCCCAGCACCATGGAGAAATTCCAACAAGGATTTAACACAGCCACTCAACCATCCTCAGGGAGCTTCTCCCCTCCACAAGGAGCCCTGGGAACTCATACTTTTGGGGTGAATTCTCCCTTTTAAAGTCTTCCCATTGTGCTTAGCAAGACAATGATTTCTTTCTTCAAAGATTAGAGCCAAACCTGTATCAAATCAAACACATGCTTCATGCTATTACAAGATTTCAAAATTAAGGGGCATTTTTTTCTCCCTGGGCAGTGTGTTTTCTGAGGAAGCAGCAGTTTATCCAAGCAGCAACATCCTTTCAAACTGCAGGATCATGGGGATCATAAAGCCAAGGAATATTCTGCTGGTTTGTTACTTCAGCTGTCAGAAGGGCTACACTGCAGTGACCAGCAGTGACACAAATCACCAGCACTTACATAAAATTTCTCCAGATTTCCACATGCTGTAGGCAGTAGTTCACTACCTCCAGCCTTCCTGGGGTCTATTAATAGCTGCCACCCCCCTCAGCTTTGGAACAAAGAACTGTATTTTAAGTTTCCAGCCTTGTTTCTAACAAAATTCCAAACTGGTCTCTGCACTTCCACAGGAGTGCAAATCGAGTTCCTAAAGAGCAGGTTTGGTATCAAATCTGCAGCTACCTCTGCTCTGCAGCACAGAGAGGCCACAGTGCTGGATTACTTCCCAGTCCCTGCATGGCTCAGGAAGGGCCAAACTGGCAACCACCACCAGTACCTTCCAATTCTCACAAATCAGCTTAAACCAGCTGCAGCACAGCACAGCTGAAATGCTGCTGAGCCCCTCCCAGGCACAGCAAAGGGTGGAAATCCAGGGGGGTGAGCAGGAGTCAGGAACTGCTGCAACAGGAAAATCACTGGATCATCACAGAATGCCCTAAGTAGGAAGGAACCCCCAAGGATCATCCAGTCCCACCCCATGAACCCCAGCCCTGGGAGTACTGTCCAAGCACTCCTGGAGCTCTGGCAGCCTCAGGGCCATGAAAAAACTCAGCACACTCCAGATTTTGCTGATGAGATGGTACCAGGTAAGACTTCCCCAGACCCCAGCTGGGGTGCAGAGCTTTACAGGCTCAGGACCAGCAGTAAATGGATTTTCTCAGTTTAAGCTGACAAAACCACACACCATCACTGAACTGAGGCCACTGAGAGACATTCTTTGCCTAAAAGTGCAGAGCAGAAAGAGCCCCTGTTATTCTCACAAGACAAAAGCACTGTCACCAGACCTGAAGATGTGAGACTTTCATGCCAAACCTCACACTGAGCTGGGTCAAAGCAGATCCACCTCTGGGGCTCGAGGCAGGAGGCAGCACCCATGACATCAGAGCCCCCTCCTCCCTTGCCATTGTTCTCATGTCTCACTGCCAACCCACATTAAATAAAATAATAATAATAATGTACTTTTCATTCTGTGCCAGCAGATTTCTTGCTTTCTCAACTTTTGATGTCTGCTTGATTCTTTGCCCCAAAAGCTTTTGGGAGTGAATGACACCATGAAACACAAGCTCAAAGGATGGGAACCTTGATCATTTTACTGAAGTGGGAACACAAGCCTGGCTTATCTTTGGTCATCAACATTCTTTGCACGCTTATAAATGAAGTGAAAAGAACAGAGGGGAAATGGCCTGCAAATGCTGTTTTATTTCATCTTAATTTCCTCCCTGGAAAGAATCAATATTTTTCTTAGCTGGGTTAAGAAAAATATAGAATGGGTTGGATTAGAAGGGACCTTAAAGCTCACCCAATGCCACCCCTTGGCATGGGCAGGGACACCTTCCACTGTCCCAGGCTGCTCCAGCCCCAGTGTCCAGCCTGGCCTTGGGCACTGCCAGGGATCCAGGGGCAGCCCCAGCTGCTCTGGGCACCCTGTGCCAGGGCTTGCCCACCCTCACTGGGGAGAATTTCCTCATCATCTCTAACCCCAACCTATTCCCTTCTCAGTTAAATCCATTCCCTTTTGTTTTTATCACTCCATGCCCATGTCCAAAGTCCCTCTCCAGGTCTCTTGCAGCCCCTTTACTGTTAGCAGGTGGATCTTCTGAGGGCAAAGCACTTCTGGAGCAGAAGAACCTCCCGTGTAACACCAAATACCTCAGGGATTCCCTCCTCAGTCTTCTCCATTCAAGCTGTGCTTGGAGGCCCAAGGTTTTGGAAATCTCAAGTCTCCCCAAAACATGAAGTTCAGGGTTTACATTCAGAGTATTCCGCAGCCCCAGCAGGGACTGTCTTGGTCATTTTATTGTGCTTGAACAGATCCCTCCCCCTCGGCATGAGAAGCAAAGATGCAGCTAATTAGGGCACAAAGAGAACTGCACATCTATACTTTCAGTCAGAGTTCCACCCTCTTCCCCAAAGAACTTCTTTATGGAATACACTCCCTTTGCCCTTTTACAAAGAAAATCTCGTCAGAATTAATCACCTACACCTCCAAAACACCACATACTTAGGGGAAAAAACAGCTACATCAAATCTGCATTTCAATGCTGGTTTGTGCTCTCCCAGGGAACCTGGCACAGGTTCACTCAGGAACACGTTTGTTTTGCACAGGCAATGCAGAAGGGGAATGTTTTGATTCTGTTGGGTCAGTGACTCAGTAAACAGCTCGAGCCCTCAGCAGGCACACAAGCAGAACGAGGTGATGGTGGGAGATTCTCCAAGTTCTTGGATTGTTAAAAACCCCCCACAGTAAAAGCTGGCTGTAAATGCTACAAAACTTACACAGAAGGTAATTGCAACCATAACTCTTGAAGGCTGCTTCAGGTGCTGGGCCCTGCACATCCAGGTTTATTTGATAGGAACACACAGACTGGGCACAACCCAGACAAGGGGCTCACACTCCTCTTCACACAAATCTAACATGAGGTCTTTATCTTAATATCAAAACCCCAAACCAAATAAGGAGCCCTCACAGGTGTAATGCCTGAAGGACACATTCCCACTGAGTCCAGAGTGTTCTAGGACTCTGGGAGCTCCCAAGGATCAGGACATTGTGGATCTGCAGGAAAGCAGCACAAAAGTCACAGACTGGTTTGGTTTACAAAAGATCCTAAAGATTATCTTGTTCCACCCCCTGCCACGGGCAGGGACACCCTGCACTATCCCAGGCTGCCCCACGTCCTGTCCAACCTGGCCCTGAACACTTCCAGGGATATATGCTGGGTCCAGCTTCACCACCCAAGCTCCTTCTTGGCTACAGAAGTTTTCTTTCTACATTTGCCACCTTCTGTCAGTTAATTATTATTAATTATTACTCTGTTGACTGTCAGGACTGGGCATCATCAGGAGTGGGGCCCTTCATAACCTACCAGGCTTTCAAGATGAAAATCCTACAGCTAAGAACCCCACCATTAAAGACATCAGCAGCAGCACAAGAAGTTGTGAGCTGCAGCCTTTTCCAGCTGCTCACTGCAGGGTGTGTGAGAGAACTGAGCTCATTGTCCCTCCTGCAGGGCCACCTGCACCCACTCCAGCTGCCTGCAGTCCCCTGAGAGGGACAGGCCATGTGCTGACCAGAGGGTGACTGCTCCTTAAAACAGCTGCACTCCTCATCAAGTATCAACCTAATTAAAACCAGCTCCAGAACAACACTGCACACTTCCAACACAATGGCTAAAACATGCCAGTGGTTTGGGAGAATAAATGCAAGGATCTTTTCCCAGGTAAGGAAACGCTGCCTTTTGGAGAAACTTGGTGTTGGGGTTGGTTCAGATGTAGCCAAATGGTCTGTGAAACCAGGACAGGCAGGAAGCAAAGAGAATAAACCTCCCCTTTAATTGTTTGGTGTTGACACAATTTTGGTGGGTCCAAAATTCATCCGGTTGGGATCAATACACTTACCTATCATCCCTGTTGGGCAATAATCCTGAGTTCCTTCCTGGAATACAAGACAGTGTCTTTATAACTTGGGAGTGGAAAGGGATCTGAGGATGGAACATCTATTTACAGGGACAGCCTAACGCTCGCAGAGCCACAGAGGGATAACCAAACACTTCAACGTCAGCGGGATGTGGAACTAAAAATACTTAAAAGCAAAAATGTTGTGGAAACTGAGCCAAGAAAAAAAGCAAAAATGAGCTCTGTTGCCTCAAAAATTACTACTGAGACAACAAAATCTTGCAGATGATGTATACCAAGCTGGGTTGCTGTAACTAAGATACTGTAATGGCCTTTCTTTCCAAGAAAGCCAACTGATGGCCTACTTTTAGGGAAAAGTTCATGTTTTTCCTCAAAAACTTTAGGCTCACCTTTCTACAACCTCACCCTCTTGTCCAAAGAGACAAACTATAAAACATCAATGTGCAACACATCAAAAACACAGCTTTTTTTTTCTCTAACTCAAAATTCAGACTGGACTGCTGGGTATGAGCCTCCCTGGAGCAGGAGGCAGCACAGCAGAGATAATGTTCCTTATGCAAATCCAGTGTCATTTTGTCTCGGGGGTTTCAAGTTCACTCCCTGAACGCTGACCCAGCGGGGTCACACACACTTCAGCCCGACAAAGCTGGATAAGCAATTTTTTCCCTAAGCAAAGCATGATTGCTTCTTTGTTTAAATCCCTCTGTAACTAGAAATTAATGCTGGGTGATGCAGCCAGAGTTTGGAGGCTCATTTTCTCCAAAGCCTGCCTGAAGTGACTGCAATAGATGGAATTATCCAAGAACATAATTCCTCTCAAAATAATCAGCATTACCAAGCAACCTCCAAATTCTTTCTCCTGATGAGATGACCCCACCCTGTGTGCACGCAAGACATTTTTCTCTCAGGCCACTCCTGCTGATGACTCCTTTTACTGCTTTCCCACAGGTTGGTTTCTTCCTCCACAGCTTCTCTAGCTGCTGGAAGAGCTCAGAGCCCGGCCAGGCTCATGTCAGTGTCCCATCAGTCACCAAGGGCTGGAGCTGCTCACGGAATCCCACGGCGTCAGCACACCAAGAACGTGACACAAACAGGTCCTGCCACCTCCAGATAAATGCAGGTCACTGCACTCACGTTCCAGCCAAACTGATGGAGACCTTCCAAGGAAGTTCTCTGCTCTCAGGTATCATGACTGAGCTTGGCCAAAACCTCCTCTTTGCCCAGTAACCAAGGGAAAAAATGAATTTCTGATCTTGATGCTGCCAAACCACTCCTCTGCACAGAGCCCAACTGCCCTGCCATGAGAATTCCTGACAGGACTCCCTTAGCTCAAAGCAGATTCTCTGTCATATTCTACACTTAATACACACAAAAATTGTACTCTAAAGCCACATTCTTGTTTACAAGCTGTTTTCACTGTTATTTTGCAAGCTCTACAGCACATCCTCCTCGAGTTAGCAGCATTTTGATGATCATGTTGTTACAATTTATGACTAGGAACATTAAACCCCTCCTCTGAGCCCTTCCAGCCCTGGAGGAGCCCAACACTGCTATCTGCTGTGCAGTTACATCTCATTTAGCAGCTTAAATGGTCAAACAGATCAGGCTAACACAAGAACTTCCATTACTTACTGTGCAGCATGAAGCACCCTGCAGACACTAAGTACATCCCTAGCTTGGGAAAAAAGCCAGCTCCACAGAGACTCTGAACCCACCTTCTCTTGAGAATTACAGAATTTGGGAAGTGCTCCTTTCTTAGGATTCCTTTGACACAGCCCATTATTTCCTAGACCATTTTCAGTAACTCCACAGAACACAGACTCAGGCAGTAAAATGTGGGGAATCATCACTCCCCAAAGCTGTACTAATGCTAAAAGCAAGCTGGGAGCCATCCACCTCCATGTGTACTCTCCTCAGTTTTACACCAGCACATCCCTGCCCGTGGGTCTTTGAGAAATGGGGCTCCTTGATGCCAACCACGGAGTGGGGCTTGGGGTTCTCCTGTTGTTTTGGGTACTTAAATGAATGATGGGCATAAAAATCTTACCCAGTGACACAGAATACCTATTCCAGGACCAGTAAGGAAAACAGATACACCAGGGAAACTCCAAGTATTAACCACAAACAAGACCACCACAATGAACATCAAATGGATGCTGTCTACAACAGGTTACCTGCTTGTGAGCATGGTCATAGGAGTTTATGTGGTTGTCAAACTCCTGGTGCTTCTGATACTGCTTGTCACAGAGTTCACAGTAGAAGTTTGCTCTGAGGTCTTCCAAAGCCTTGGCAATGGCCTTTTCTTTATCAACATAATCCTGAAAAATTAACAAAAAATTGCTTCTGTTAAGCATCCTCTAGAACAACCTGGAAGATCATTGGTTAGTCCTTTAAGGAAAAATAGTGCTTAATAAAAACAGTGTACATGGATTACATTTATTACAGGTTCTCTGAGGCTGGAAAATGCCTCCAAGATAACTGGGTCCAACCTGTGCCCAATGCCCACCTTGTCCCCAGCCCAGAGACTGAGTGCCACATCCAGGCCTTCCTTGGGCACCTCCAGGGATGGGCACTCCAAACCTCCCTGGGCAGTGCCAAGGCCTGATCCCCCTTTCCATGGGGAAATTCCTGCTGCTGTCCACCCTGAGCTGCCCTGGCCCAGCCTGAGGCCGTTCCCTCTGCTCCTGTCCCTGTTCCCTGGAGCACAGCCCGACCCCCCCGGCTGTCCCCTCCTGTCAGGAGCTGTGCAGAGCCACAAGGGCCCCCCTGAACCTCCTTTGCTCCAGGCTGAGCCCCTTCCCAGCTCCCTCAGCCCCTCCTGGGGCTCCAGCCCCTTCCCAGCTTTGTTCTGGGCACTCTCCAGCTCCTCAGTGTCCTTCTTATCATGAGGTGCCCAGAACTGGACACAGCACTTGAGGTCCCTCAGCAGTGCCAGCTCAGGGGACAGTCACTGCCCTGGTCCTGCTGCCACCCCAGTCCTGGGACAGGTGCCACTGGCCTCTGGGCACATCTGGGCTCATGTCCAGCCTCTGCTGACCAGCACCTCCAGATTCTGTCCAGCTTTCCAGTCATTTTGCCCCCACCTGGAAGCTCCCATGGGGTTGCTGTGACCCAAATGCAGGTCCCAGCATTTGGCCTTACTGAACCCAGCTGACCAAGCTGAGCAGCCTTTGCAAATTCACAGGTGGGATTCCAGAACTTCACAATGCTGCCGACCTCGGTGCTATTTGTTACCCACAATCACAGAATATTCTGTGCTGGAAGGGCCCCACAAGGACAGAACACCCCCTGGTCACTGCAGAAGTACCACTAAAAGAAGACTGCTTCAAACAAGGCCTGCAGTGCTGCGGGGCAAGGCAGCTCTGCCTCAGGGGAGCCTCCTGGATTGTCTGAGCTCCAAGGAGAGGCTCAAAGCCTCGAGCTAACCCAGAGACATACTGGCATCAAACCCAGGAGGATCCCTGCCTTGGGAGCAGAACCTTACACCTCTAAAGCTGACACTGCTCCATTCTGAGTGCTAAGAGAGGTCTGCCTGAACTCGGGAGGGAGGAACATGGCTCCAGCTGGGAATTACCCTTCAGAGCCCGCCAGGCCCAATGCCCTCCAGTGAAATATTCCCAGGAGCAGAACTGTCCCTCAGGCTGGGCTCAGCACAGTGCCCACACTGCAGTGGGCACAGGGAGGGAGGGAGGGAGGGAAGGCTGGGCTCAGCACAGTGCCCACACTGCAGTGGGCACAGGGAGGGAGGGAGGGAGGGAGGGAGGGAGGGAGGGAGCCTTGGGGTGCTGACAGGGTCTCTCCCCTTCTACAGCTGAACACCTGCACAGGTGGAAACCAAACCTGCAGGCAGAGATGGGGTACCTCACCTGGCAACAGCCACATCCTCCTTCCCTCTTTTGCTACAGGTTTTGAATATGCACTGAGCTCTAGGACTGGGGAAACCCAGTCCCTCAGGTGGCTGCACTGGCTGGAAATCCAGGTGTGGAAGGAGCCTGTGCTGTCCCCAGGGCTGCTGCACATCTGGGGGGCTCCGAGACACACCTGATGCTGGGACACAGGAACCTCAGGGTGAGGCAGCTGTTCCCTCTTGCCAGGCTGTATCAATTACAGCCCCCCCAGCAGAATTAATAAAACATCACCACTCTTCATCAGCTCTCTGGGGGAGGTTTACCCTGAGGAGGTGGAAGGCTTTATCAAAATCAGTTACAAATGCTGCATCACAAAGCCCACTGCACTCACTGCAGCACTCCCCATATAACCATTGACCATAGGCATTTCAACTGGAATAAAGAGAAATTATATAAAAAAACAGCCTAACATTAGAGAAAAAGCACTTAAGGACCCTTTTTTCCATCTTCAATACAAACCTCCTATGGGAAGCTTCCTTCCTCAGCAAGAGGAGGCAGCAAACATTTAAGTCAGAAAACTTTGAAAGGTTTTTCCTTTGAATTTCAGATCTTGTTCATGGCAATATGGTTTATCTCCTAGTTACCACATCAAAATAATATTACTGACCATGTTTTATATAAAATTTATATTAAAAAATTCAACACCCAAGGAGAGGAAGAAAACATCTAAAAAATGTTAGTGCACATGTTTGGGATTGTTTTCAATTTCAAGCACTGTTCACTTCTACATAAAAAAGGAAGCAACTTCCTGCTTCCATCTATTACCAGATGCCCTTGACCAGGGGAAAAAAAAAAAAAAAAAAAAGAAAAACATCAACAAATCTGGAGTTTTGAGCCTGAGGCAGGTCCCCAGGAAGACAAGAAAGGAAAACAGAGCAGCATGAGCTCCACAGAACACGGACGTTGAAAGTTCCTCTGAATCCCAGACAAGCTTCCTGTGCCATGTGTAGGTTTTTTTGAGCAAGCATCCTGTGGCTAAACAATGAAACCCAGGCACTTGAATGATCAGAATTTATACAAAAGAAGAGAATTAAAACATTCCTTGGCTGCAGAGTTATCTGAAATTCTCTGAGGCTCCCTGAACGGCTGATCAGGATGCACCGCCATCGGCAGTTACATAATGGACTCCTGTGGAGCAGCAAAAAGTAACGGCTGCAGAGAATTTTCACAGATTAATACCAAAATGCAAGGGGCTAAGGATGAACTGAGCTTATAAAAACCCACTGGAGCTGGGAGAGACTGCTACTGCTCGAGAGCTCCTGAAAAAATACTGTGCTGGATGAGGCAGGAAAAGAGTCTCAGAGCAACAGAGGTTGGGCTGCGTTTGGAAAGGTAATTGTAAAGCCCAAGAACTCCAGGATCACAAAATGGTTTTGCTTGGGAGGGACCTTAAAGCTCACCCAGTCCCACTCCCTGGACAGGGACATCTCCCACCAAACCAGGTTGCTCCAAGCCCCATCCAACCTTCCCAGGGATGGGGAATCTGCAGGCCCCCTGGGGATCCAAACACCTGCAGTTCACTTACCAAGCAAATCAAGGTCTCAAGAAAAAAAAAAAAAAAAAAGGAGAGGAGACTATAAATTTTCATAGCTGAACAAACTGCCTGAAGAATTAACTGTTCAGCTGGGGAAATGGAATTTTAGATTTGCCAAGGTTATGTTTAATTTTAATGGCATTGAAACTACTTTCCCATTATTTCTCAAATAATTAAAATTTATGCTAGACTGACACTTCATTTGGATGTCTTGGGCTCTTCCTCAACCCTGGTACTCCCCAAATCTCTGGACAATTGAACAAGCAGGCTTTCCTCAGAGCTGATGGACTGTAGGGCTGGGAAGCAGAAGAGTGGATTAAAGGATGAGCAGAGACCATGTCTCCACAGAGAACCTGGATACAGCTAATCCAAAAATGCTCCTGCATGTCACACTCAATCCCAACACCACAGCTCATTTTTATCAGCTTTTGGCTTACAAAATAACCCCACAGGTTTTGTAAATCCCATAGAAATACAGAATTTGTCTTTTTTTAAATGCTGCTTGAACAATTCTTCCAAAGAGCTCCAGCACATCAATTTCTCCAAGCTGGAGCCACGTCCTACCTTTCCAAAGCAGGCAGGATTTATGCAGCAACATCACAATGTACTGCTCACTCCTCACTCAGTACAACACAAGAGCTCCTCCCTCCCAGCTGGAACTGCCCCTCCACCACCTGCAGGTTTTTTCCTGACACAGCAGGCTCACTCAAAAAATATGGCAGCCCTGGGTGTAGGGAAGGAAATGTCCTGCTCACCCCAGGACTGCTCCTTCCAGAACAGGAGCAAAGCCCTGCTGCCATCCTGGGGCTCTTCAGCAGCCAAACAATAGGAAGGGTGATGCCAGGAAGTGAATAACCAGTGTGTTAAAATAGAAATCATCTCCACAATGACCAACCCAAGAGCAGTGAATTTCTACCACCATCACTGCAGCAGAAGCAGAACTCAGCCCCATTAGAACAGATCCTTTCCCAACCAGCCCACAGACACTGATGTTGATGCCCCTCTCTCTGTACCTTGTACTTCTGCCTCAGCTCCTCGGTGTCTTCCTTCTCCACCTCCAGCACTCGCCTCCGCTCTGTGGCATCCTCGGCGTAGTCGAGCTGTTTAAAAAAAATTAGATAAGAGATGCAACTTGGTCCATAAATACATTGCACTACCAAACCTACCAGAAAGCACAACTTAACAGCTTCAGCTGAAACAGAATCTATGCAAGTTGTGCTTTGCTTTCCCTGCTTTGTCACCCCAAGTGTAAAACAGGTCATTAATCCCCATGATGTGGAAGGCCCTGGCAGGCCCATGATAGTTTTGAGATGGGGAAATCTCAGAGCCCAGGGATTTTGGGGAGCATCCAGAGCCCAGAACTCAGGCTCACAGGGATGAACAGAAGATGCCTTTTGCAGACAAGTGTTTTCTTACTGTGCTGCTTCAAAAGCAAGTTGTTCTTTACCTTGGATGAACAAACTCTCACTTTAAATGTCTCTCCCTCCCACGCCCCAGAAGCCCTGCAGGGGTGAGGGGAGCTCACCTCCATCTCCATCCGGCCCATGCCCATGACATCATACTTGACAACGATAGGGATGGGATCTGTCCTCCCTGGAAGAGGAACACACAGAGAGGGGTCAGCAGCAGCCCAGCACCACAGCTCACTGTACACATTGGGTTTGGGTGGTTAGAGATCTTGCCTTGGAGTGCAGAGACCAGAAAGCTACAGTGAACCAAACACGAGCCATTCTCACAGCTTACAGCCAACCCTGCGCCCAGCTCCGAACGGCACCCAGGATGATAAATGCATTTTTCTGAACATTAACTGCTCATGTAAAAGCTTCTCATGGTTAATGTTCCCCCATGACAAGCCCTGGGGCAGGGCTGATAACAGGACTTGAGCCTTCTCCTCAAGGCTTCCACATCAGGCTCCTCATCTTCCCATAAGAGAAGAAGCTGCTAATCACATTTCACTGCTGCAGCTCATGAATAATCGATTAGAACTTCCCTGTGAGAGATGTGGAAGCCTCCCTCCTGCCAGCTTTTGCCCTCCCCAGGAGCAAGGAATGCTGAGGAGAAGGATGGCACAGAAGCCAAACTTCCCCCATCCCAACCACCCAGCCTGGGCCAGGGGTGGGCCCTGCTCCCCCAGCCCTGGAGCGATGCTCTGGCCGCACCGCGTCACCTGTAAGCTGTGAAAAGGACTGGTTGCGAAGAAAATTGACTTTGAACTAATCAAACTATGCTGGAGATTTATTTTTTTTAAAAAACATATCTTTAATCCACTCATAACCAGCCAAACAAAGCAAAATGGGGCAGACAAGCACTTTACTACCACAGCTTTTTTTTTTTTTTTAATTATTATTATTTTGATTTTTACATCACAACTGGCACTGGTGGTTGTGATGTAACCCACTGACAAAGTACTTACCTTCTCCAGTGCAAACCTTGAGTGAAAAAACAGAATGTTTACTTCCCTTATTACTGCTCTTGTTTGGTGTAAACAACTCTTTTGTTATACACACATACACAGGTATTATACCTTTGGGCTAAAAGATCCACACGTTGGAGTCATGCTGAAATATTCCACTGCCATCCACATGTGCAAAAGGTTAAAGTCTTTAAAACTGCCTCAGAAAACCTGGATAGGTGTGAAGTCTTTGCCAGCATCAGCCATAATTCCTGCCAAAACCACAGCTCTAGAGGGGCTTTTGAACCTTAAAGTACAGACGTGGTTTTATTCAGAAATAAATCAATTTAATTAATTACTTTATGGTTTTGTTGACATGCCCAGGAATTTGATAGGCAGGTATCCTTCAGGTCCAAAAGTAGTGATCACATTGATCTGAAATGGTTTGGACTGAGCTTTCCTTTGGATATTTAATGCTCATCTTTGACAAGGTTTCTCTTATGCCCAATGGTATAATACAGTAAGCAGTGACTGCAATTTTTAGCAAAAGGACCAAATTAAAGACAGGTTATAAAAATGACTTCCTAGGTGCAATATCACTTTCATAACGTCTCAGCCAGGGATTTACTGGTAAGTGGTGAACCCAAATGGAATGGCTGGCACCAAGTGCCAACAATTTATTGTTCCAATTGTTTTCAAGCTTTTTTCTTTTTTGGTTTGGTTTGTTTTTGGGTATTTTTGGTTTGTTTTTGTTTTGTTTCTCCAGCAATTGAGATCTTTCAATGCAGTCTCATTGGCCTGGTAAACCCCTGTACACAAACAATGCATCAGTACTTTTGCCTTCTAAGGCAGTCAAAGTTTTTTGGGTTGTTTTTATTCAATTCAAAATCTGTTTGGAAATTGCAGTAGCAAGTGCTAGTGCCCATCGTGTTGGGGGAAAAAAAATCAAGTTTGGACAGTATTAAAAATTTATGTTTAAACTGATTTTGGCAGTTCTAACACAAACAGAAACATCCCTTCTTAGCAATACCCTTTAATGAACAAGGATCAGACAAGTGTGCATAAAGAAAGGAAAGGAAAGGAAAATGAAAGACCAAGCAGAAGGATGATGGCTACAACAGAGAAAGTAAGCCTAACATTGGTGCACTGATGACAAAGGAGTAATTCAGTCTGAAAATAAAAAATTACCACTGCTAAGTTTACCATCACCACAACAAGTCCAGGATCATAACGCTGTAAAAAAGAAACACCATTTGTTAGGCAGAAACCATTAGGGGCAGAAAATAGGCCGTTTGGCAGGGAGGATGGGTAAAAAAATAATAACAGGAGGCTTCTTGCTCACCCCTCCACCCCATGACCGTGCTCTGCCCTGCAGAAGCAGGGAGCCACTGGAGCAGCTCTGAGTCCTGCTGGTGCTGGGAGAGCTCCTGGTGACAGCCCCGCTCCGAGGAGGCGCTGAGGCACATGTAAGCAGGCAATTTAAAAAGGAAACACAGCGGGATCTGAAGGAATAACAAATATTCTGGGCCAAAAGGAACTCTGCTTGCAGGTAAGAGGAGAATATTCCATGCAAAAAGCGATGCCTCTGTTTTAAACTGAACCATCATTTCATTATGAATGGAACCTCATGTGTGACATCCAGGTGACAAGTGGCACATCCAGGCACGTAGCACGGTCATGGCAGCAGTGCCAAGCCCACACGGATCCCCCTGGAGCCAGCTGGGGCAGCAGGACATGCTGCTGAGCACTGAGGTGGCCTTGCTCCTTGTCCAAGGAAAGCCACGATGGTGAAGGGACAGGGACAGGCCCAGGGCCACCCCTTGCCTGCTGGCTGCCAGGTGGGGCATGGGGAGCAGCCAAAGGGGGAAATGGGACTCGCCAAGCTCAGCTCATGACTTCTCCTTTGAAGGAACTTCCTCGAGGAAAGTTTGTCCTACTGCTGGCCAGGACAATGGGATCTTTCCCAGCAGCTAAACGTGGCTTGGACCTTGGGAGCCTCCCAGGTTTGGGTGCCTGCTGAGCCTTTCCTGTACACCAGCATGCTTTGAGATTCCAAGGTCCAGAATTCCCACAGCTCCTACCACTCAGCAGGGCTGCCAGCAGTGCCACACAGAGGGCTAATTCCCAGGGCAAATCCTGCTGTCCCTGTCCCAGCCCTCTGCACCTCACATTTAGTTTCTTTTTGAGGCAGGTCACAAACTCCCTCACAGACTGGTCACTGCACAGGCTGCAGAGCCCAAAGCAGAGAGGGCTATTGCATAAAACATTTCCACACACAGGGAAAATCTCATGGAGAGGACAGAGCAGGAACCTCCAGCAGGATGGAAAAGATAAACATCTCACTCAAGAGTCGCACCTTAGAAAACCCAATCTCAAAGGAAATTAGGTTAGTAATGATTCCCTGCACTCAGAAATGAAATGAGATTCCCAAACTGACCTGCTGTACCTGTTTTGCTTTCCTCTCCCCAAGAAATGGGAAAACCTTTCTCCCAGCTTGTGAAAAATTGCTCAGACCCAAACAAACCCTGACAGCCATCCCTTCCCAAAGCCCTGCAGTGGCAGGGGGCACGTGGCCAGGCAGGCTTCTCCAGATTCCCTTCTTTTTAACTGCATAAAGCTTTTGCATGCAAGCAAATACTTCCCCCCTGGTGCTATAAATGCATGAATCTTGGGAAGATTCATCCTAAGGCTCCAGGGCTTTGGTATCAGACACAGGTCATGTTGCATATGGAGGACTGTGGGTTCAGGGCTATGCTCTGGATGTGGCATGGATGCTCTCTGCCCTCTGGAATGGGAATATCCCAGCTGGAGCTGCCACCTGAGCCTGCCTGGAAGTGCCAGCATTATCAACACCAGCCCATCTTTTATCCCTTTTTTAACAAGTCAAAACAGAAAACAGTTTTCATCAGATTTGCAGATTCAGAGGAACTCCTCCCTCCAAAAACAGCATAATGGCAATAGAATCCCAAAATGGTCTGGGTTGGGAGGGCACTTAAAAACCACTTCCTCCATGGAACAAACAGGGACACCTTCCACTAACCCAGGTTGCTCCAAGCCCCATCCAACCTGGCCTTGGGCACTGCCAGGGATCCAGGGGCAGCCCCAGCTGCTCTGGGCACCCTGTGCCAGGGCCTGCCCACCCTCACAGGGAAGAGTTTCCTCCCAATACCCAATGTAAATTGATCCTTTATTTAATTTATAACATCTACTCCTTGTCCTAGCCCAACAGGTAAATTTCTCCATTAAAGGAGCATTCAGATATAACAGGATGAAAAAAAGTACCCCAAGAATTCTGTGTTAACATAATCCAATCAAATCTCTCCCAGTGTGTCCCTTATGCACAGTGTGTAAGCACCACAGATGTAACACAAGAACTGTAATCTTGCTTGTTTTGTTGACATCCTCATAGAAATTTCCCCCAGGTACAAGCTTTGTAGGATCCAATCCTAGAGGAGTGATTGATATCACACTTGTCACTGGAGGAGAATTTCATAAACTCAGCATCTCCAGAGGACACAGACAACAACATCTGATCTTGTTGGACATGGAGGATTTCTCCTTATTTGTTATCTTTCTGCTGCAACTGAAACCCACAGTAAGGCACAACCTTCCAGGGGCTTTTAGCTGCTCCTGGCAAGGGATTCTCACTCAGCTGAGTGCAGGGCAGGTTCATGACCACAGCACAGGGGTGGATAAGGGCTGGTTTGTTCAGTCAGTACAAAACCCATTGCAGGCTCTGGAAGGGAAACAATTGCCTGGAGTCAGCAACCAACACCTGCAGGAATGGATCCACAGGCACAGGGCTCACCTTCAGCTGCACTGTCTGGGAAGAGGGAGACAGGGAGGAGTCCCTGAGCTCATGAATGAGTTGCACTTTTAAAGGTGAGAATTTTGCAACACTCAACACTCCTGGGACTGTTTTGATACAGCATGGGAGGCTGGGCTCTGCTTCCAGGGAACAAGTCACAGGACAAGAGGGAACAGCCTCAAATTGTGCCAGGGAAGGTTTAGGTTGGATATAAGTTTCTTCCTGGGAGGGGTTGTCCAGCCTAGGCAAAACCTGCCCAGAACAGTGGTGGAGTCGCCATCCCTGGAGGGATTCAAAAGCTGTGCAGATGTGGCACCTGGGGACAGGGGTTAGTGGTGGCCTGGCACCACTGGGCTCCCTAAGAGTCTATGAGAAGCCAAGAGCTGTCCTACT